AATATAGGTACCTCTCAGTAGAAGAGCACCCTCTTCAATTTGATATACTTATGCACAGTTTCTTTAGTAAATGTTATCTTAGGGGATGGTCTATTTTCTAATTCCTTGATACTATGCTGTTTTAGTATAAATCTTAACATAAGTAATTTGTTCCTTCTTTCACTTCACCACCAAACCTCCATGAAAATTTGTCTTTTCCAAGTTGAATTTATACCAGAAATGTAAAATTTTTAAAATGAGAAAATCCATTAACATTTCAACAAATTAACAAATTAAGGAATAGTCATTTCTAGTGTAAGTATCTGAGAGTCAGCTTTTTGGATTGTAATATATGTGCCTGACATTAAGCTTTTGATTGCTGAGGCATCCTCTCTTCAGACATCCATCTTGAATAAATACATTGTCAGCTACATTATTAGATAAAAAGCGAGGCTGCCCCACCCATGAAGTTCCCCTTTGACAATGTGATTGACAGCTTACTTTTGCCTTCCCATACTTTAATTCTGCTCTAATGTTTTAAATTCACAAATAAAGTGAACATGTGAAACCCTAGGCACCCCACTCTCAACCCCAATAAAAGCAGAACCCCAGGTCCATGTACTCTATCTCACTCTTTCTCTACCCATGACTTCACTGAGTGGCCTCAAACATGTTGTGTACCCTCTAAGACTTGTGAATAATAAACTTTGTTTTTCAAAGTTCCCTGATGGTTGTTGCTGAGGTGCATCGTGGCCATTATAAGAACCAAGAGGCTGGTCAAACCACAGCACTGGCTCTGAAAAAGGGAAATGTCTATGGGGGCTGGCCTAAGGCCCAACTGAGTGTCCCCAAGTATTTCTAGACCATAGCATCATTAACAGTAGGCTGAGATTAGCACAAAACATATCTCAATACATGTAGAAAAGCATTCAATAAAATTCAACACTATAATTTAAAACTCTTAGAATATTGGAAATAGGTGGAAACTTTTTAACTTCATTAAAGCATTCAACCAACAACCTGTAGCAAACATCTTAATGTTGAAATCTTGGGAGACATTTTGTTTGCAGTTGGAAATAAAAGAAAGTTCCCATTAAAACCATTTATATTCAACACTGCACTGGATTCCTATCCAACAAAACAAATATATATATAAAAATATATAAATTTAGAAAGGAAGAAACAAAATTTGTCTACATTTTCTATACTTTTATACATAGACTATTCCAGATAATCCAAGAACAGCTTTTATAAACAGAACATTTGGTGATGCAAGGAATACAAAATAACAAAATCAATATTTTATACACTAAAATTAATTAAAATTAAAATTTAAGAAAATTAATTCACAGGAGCAATAAAAACTATAAAGTACTTAGAATTAAGCTAACAAAAGATATGTAAGAATTTTGTGCAAAAAGTTACAAAGCTATATAGAAAAAGGTAAGAAAACCAAAGGAAACATATCATGTTTATAGATGGAACATTAGTATCTTAATGAAGTAAATTTTTTTTTTTAAAGATTTTATTTATTTATTTGAGAGAGAGAATGAGACAGAGAGCATGAGAGAGGGGAGGGTCAGAGGGAGAAGCAGACTCCCTGCCGAGCCGGGAGCCCGATGCGGGACTCGATCCAGGGACTCCAGGATCATGACCTGAGCCGAAGGCAGCCGCTTAACCAACTGAGCCACCCGGGCGCCCCGAAGTAAATTTTTTCTAATCAGTATGTCTAAGTTTCAAACAAAATTTCAGGAGGGATTTACATAGAATTTGATAAACTGATTCTAAAATGTATATAGTACTATAGATAATCAGAAAAAGCCAAGATGGAGAAGGGAGAAGGGGCAGGCCTAACAGATAACAAGATATTTTCTGCAACTTTTATTAGTTATTTCTAATAAAATATAGTAAAAGTACAATAGTAAATAAATATATCAATGCAACAGAGGAAAAAGTCCAGAAAAAGACGCATCCAAATATGGGAACTGATATATGCGTGAGATGTTCTTATACATCAGTGGTAACTGAAATGACTATTCAATAAATGAATTATTTATATGTAAAACATAAGTATCCCTTATCTCAAACCAACATAAAATAAATTTTATTTAGGTTAAAATCTAATTATGAAATGGAAAGCCTTAAAACTGATTTTTTTTTAAAAAAAGGATTATATTTTACCTCAGGAAGAAATGATTTACTGAATAAGAAACAAAATGCAAGAATCAAATGAAAAGACTGATAAAGTTGAATAAAAAACTTCTATGTGTCAAAAGGCTATTGATGGAAAAACTAGCCTACAAGAAGTCAAATGATTTATTCAAGATTATATGCTAATAAGTAGTAGAGCCACAATTCAAACATATAGTCTTCTGACTCTAATACTAATTTATTTTGCATTCCTTTTAATTTTTAATTACATAATTAACACATTATATTCTTTCATAAAAATTTGAACACAAAGGAAATAATACCTTTGATCATTTTCCCCAGTTCCAATTTCCAGTATCCTCCCCAGATTTGTACATATACTTTTAGGACTTTTTTCTTGGGTATTTGAATATATAATAAAAATACAAATGCATTTTCAAGTGGTTTTATAGTGTGCTTATTGTTCTGCAACTTTTCTTTTAAAAATCGTGGCTTAAAGAACTTTCCATATCAGTACAGCATTCTACTGTGTGAATATATTAGCATTCATTTATCCAGTTTTCTATTAATTGAACTTTAGGCTGTTTTCAGGATTTTGCCCCTTGGTCATATAAATAGGATGGACATCTGAAATGAATTTTCTAAATCATAATGAATATATGTTTTAAATGGTGATAATGCCAAATTGCTTATACTGGTATATATACCTACTACTACAGTATCTAGATATCCATTTCTCAATTATTAATATTTTCCATTCATATTATTATTTTTAATATTTTGCCAGTCTGATGTGGAAAAAATGGGATAATGCATTTCCCTAGTAATTATTAGAGAGGCCATTTCCTCCTCTCAGCAGCCAAACTCTGCTCTCTAGAGGTAAGAGGCAACCACATTTTCAACTCTTATAATCGTCTTTTCTAGTAGACTTACTCCCATATTTCTAAATATGTTTATATTGCCATTTCTTGATATATTAATTAGACGTTATCTATTGATTTCCTATTAAGAGAGATGAGGATTTAGTACCAGTTCCTATATATTTTGCATGTTTATTATTTGCCTACTATATATGTAAGCAAATATCTTGTCTGTCCCTTATCATGATTGTCTTGTTATGGTATATTCCTTAAAGCTTTCAGGTTTTATGTCTTGCCCAAGGATGTCCCTACTTCACAGTAAAAACCCATTTCCTATAGTTTCTTCTAAAACTTTCTGAGTTGTGATTTTAACATTTACATATTTTCTCCATCTGGAATTTATTTCTGTGAATGGTGTAAGGTAGGTTACTTTTTTTCAAAATGGTTAGCCAATTGTTCAACACCATTTATTCAATAGTTTATTATGTCCTAAAACATCTTCTCTAAAATATCCAAAAATTACATCAAATGTCTGAACCATTTCTGGAATATCCATTTAGATCTATTGGTCATTTTGTATCCCCTTGTTCCAATATCACAATGTACTACATTTCTTTTTAATGATAGCTAAATTATGGAAAGAACCCAAATGTCCATCGACCAGTGAATGAATAAAGATTACACACACACACACACACACACACACACACACACACAATGGAATATTACTCAGCCAAGAAAAGAATGAGATCTTGCCATTTGCAATGACATGGATGAAACTAGAGAGTATTATAAGTGAAATGTCAGTCAGAGAAAGACAAATACTATATGATTTCACTCACATGTGGAATTTAAGAAACAAAACAGATGAACAGAGGGCGGGGCAGAAAAAAAGAGAGGAAAACCAGAAAACAGATTCTTAACTATAGAGAACAAACTAAAGGTTACTAGAAGGGAGGTGGGTGGGGAATGGGTTAAATGGGTGATGGGTACTAAGGAGGGCACTTGCTGTGATAAGTACTGGGTGTTGTATGTAAGTGATGAATTACTAAATACTATACCTGAAACTAATATTACACTGTTGACTAACTGGAATTTAAATAAAAACTTGAAGAAAAAAAATAATAAAATAAAAAATGTCAAAATATTTTCCCTTTTCAAAATTTATAGTTTCTAATTTTATTTTTCTTCTTTTTATATACAGCTTATATTACTTTCAGGTGTACAATATGTATAATTCAACAATTCTATACATTATTCAGTGCTCATCAAGATAAGTGTGTTCTTGATCCCATTTATCTATTTCAACCCTCTCCCCAACCTCCTCCTCTCTGGCAACAAGAGATTTGTTCTCTATAATCAAGAGTCTGGTTTTTTGCTTGTCTCTTTTTCTCTTTGTTCATTTGTTTTGTTTCTTAAATTCCACATATGAGTCAAATCATATGGTATCTGTCTTTCTCTTATTTCACTTATTTCACCCTCCAGATCCATCCATATTGTTGCAAATGACAAGATCTCATTCTTTTTTTTTATGGATGAGCAATATTCCATTGTGTATATATACCACATCTTCTTCATCCATTCATCTGTGGATGGACACATGGGTTGCTACTATATGCTGGCTATTGTAAATAATGCTGCAATAAATACAGGAGTGCATATATCTTTTCAAATGGGTGTTTTTGGTTTTCGGATAAATGTCCAATAGTGTGATTATTAGATCATATGGTATTTCCATTTTTTATTTTTTGAGGAGCTTCTATACTATTTTTCATAGGGGCTTTACCAATATGCATTCCCACCAACAGTGCATAAAGCTGGAGGCATCATAATCCCAGAATTCAAGATACACTATGAAGCTGTAGTAAAACAGTATGATACTGGCACAAGAACAGACACATAGATCAATGAACAGAATAGAGAGTCCAGAAATAAACCCATGCTTATATGGTCAATTAATCTATGATAAAGGAGGCAATAATACACAATGGTGAAAAGACAGTCTCTTCAACAAATGGTGCTGGGAAAACTAATTTGACTGTCATTCTTGCCCAGGGGCCATGCTAATTTTCTCTGTATCATTCCAATTTTAGTATATGTGCTGCCAAAGCAAGTGCTGGGAAAACTAAATGGCTACATGCAAAAGAATGAAACTGGACCACTTTCTTACACTATACACAAAAATAAACTCAAAATGGACTAAAGACCTAAATGTGAGACCTGAAACCATAAAACTCTTAGAAGAAAACAGTAATTTCTTTGACATCAGCTATCGAAATATTTTTCTAGATGTTTCTTCAGGCAAGGAAAACAAAAGCAAAATTAAGCTATTGGTACTACACCAAAATAAAAAGCTTTTGTACAAAGGCACCTGGGTGGCTCAGTCCATTAGTTTCCTTCAGCTCAGGTCATGATCTCATGGGTCATCAGATCCAGCCAGGGTGGGGCTCTGCACTCATCGGGGAGTCTGCTTAAAAGATTCTCTCCCTCTGCCCCTCCTTCCCACTCATACTCATGCTCCCTCTCTCTCAAATAAATAGGTAAATCTTTTTTTTTAAAAAAGATTTTATTTATTTGAGAGAGAGAGACAGAGAGCTCAAGCAGGGAGGGGTAGAGGGAGAAGCAGACTCCCCCCTGAGCAGGGAGCCTGACGACATGGGGCTCCATCCCAGGATCCTGGGATTATGACCTGAGCCGAAGGCAGATGCTTAACAGACTGAGCCATCCAGGCGCCCCATAAATAAATAAATCTTAAAAAAAAAAAAAGCTTTTGTAAGGTAAATAAAAACATTAACAAAACAAAAAGGCTACCTACTGAAGATATTTGCAAATAATATATCCAATAATGGGTTAATATCCAAAATATATTAAGAACTGATACACCACCAAAAAAACCAAATAATCCAATTAAAAAATGGGCAAAAGACATGAATAGACATTTTTCCAAAGAAGACATATAGATGAAACACACATGAAAAGATGCTCAACATCACTCATAATCAGGGAAATGCAAATCAAAACCATAATGAGATGTCACATTACACCTGTCAGAATGGTTAAAATCAAAAACACAAGAAATAACAAGTGTTGGTGAGGATGTGGAGAAAAACATTTTCTTTTTCTTAAGAATTTTATTTTATTTTTTTAAAGATTTTATTTATTTATTCATGAAAGACAAAGAGAGAGAGAGAGATGTAGAGGCAGAGAGAGAAGCAGACTCTCCGAGGAGCAGGAAGCCCGATTCTGGACTTGATCCCAGGACTCTGGGATCATGACCTGAGCCAAAGGCAGACGCTTAACTGACTGAGCAACCCAGGCGCCATTTTCTTAAGAATTTTAGAATCATTTCTTTAAAAATAAGTAAATTCTGATGACACCTGATTGGAATAACACTGTATTTATGGATCAATTTGAAGAAATCCAGTTTTCTTTCTATTACCATTAGGCAGACTTGACTTTCAGGCTCAATATTTATTAGGCAAATTCAGTTTTTATCATTTAAAAATAAAGAAGCAAACCTATACTAACTAATTTACTCAGGTGTTTTCTATGGTACTTAGCTAAAAAATAAATTCTTGAAGAGGCCATATTTATGATGAAAGTGATGCTTTAGATCTTTTCATATTATCAACTTTGTTTCCTTATCATCAAAAGAAAATTATGAATAAACAAAATGAATAAGGATTATTTCTGTAACCTCAGAACATTTTCTATATAATTACCTATTTATAAAATCAAAATTGGCTAATTTATGATTATTTAGTATTGGCCATTTATCATTACCAAAACTGAATATCAGAAGCCAATGATTAATGATATTGATAAACATATTGTTAAGTTCCAGCATAGAATATTTGAAAATTCAAGTTGTTCCACATATTCCATAACTTCCTCAAAATTGTAGAATTAAATACCAACTTTAGCTCTAGGTGAAAATAAAGACTTAATTTGGGACCATTACTAGTGTGAATAATTCATTTATTCATTATTTGTTCATTCATTCATTCAACATTATAATTTTAGAAAACACTGAATGCTTTGAACTGTGCTACAAGTTAGGTACAAAGTAATAGTAAGAAACACCTTCATTCAAGAATGAGGAAAATAAATGCAAGAATAATGGTATTTGTAATACTCACTTTCCCTTCGTCTCTTGGGCTATCACTTAAATGTACAACTGGACCTGGATGAGTCTTTGTGGATCTGTTAAATCAATTCAAAATAGTAATTAAAAAATAGTAATTAAAAAATAAAAATTAAAACACCTTACCATTATAGACTGGAACAAAGAAATTACTCTGGAATACACTCCCAATATTCTCAGGTTTAAACTTAGATTCATTTGAGTTTTGGTTGTTTTTCTTTAAGACCACTTTTCTTTCTCTTATTAACTCTATTAGAGGAAGTGTAATTTTTTTTTTTAAATCAGGTTTAAGAGCATAGATCCACATAACAACAGGATTCTTCATTTCTATAGCATAAAAATTATATACTTGAAGAGATAATATTAATAATGAAAGGGATGCTTTAGATCTTTCACGTTATCAACTTTGTTTCTTCATTATCAAAGAAAAATTATGAATAGTCAAGATGAATTATGTCTTTTCATCAAATTATGAATTTATGCATTGGTATTTATATGTTTGTTGCCAGATCTAAGCCTCTGAAAATTTGAAATTGAACTTATACAGACAAAGAAAACTTACACGGCCACAAAGCTAATACTATAAGCCTGTTTCAGCCAAATTGCAAAGTACGTAACTGACTTACAACTTTCTTTGACATAAAACCTCTGATTTTGCTCCTAAGAAAAGTATAATAGCTCCTTTGATTTACAAAGAAATTCTCTCTAGTGCTAGCCAACTTACAGAAAACTGGGGAAACCTAGTTTGCTAGTTATGTCTCATTTATTTGGTTATCCAGGGTAATCAATAACAGCTAACTATGTGTCTAAGTGCATATTGTTAAAAAGACCTGTACTCTGTAAATCTGACTTTAAAAATATTCTACTCTGATATCTGGCATGTTTCTTTTATATTTCCTACTTTGACATATTGTTGAATATGATTATGTCATGTTTAAATACAATATGGCCTGATATGACCATAGATTTATTATTGGTCATTTTCTACATCTTTTCTTCAACAGTCTAATTATGCCAGATTAATCCTATGATTATATTGACATAGTTTTAATTTATTTCTTTTTAAAATATAATTTATTTCTTATGCATACATGAAAACCGTCAAAGATTCTTCACAAAATAGTAAAGAAGAATACATTTTAAAACTTTTTGGGATCAGATAAAAGTGACAAATTAACTTCAGGTTTCCCAGATACTGACTCCCCACCATGACTCAGAGGAATAAATACAGACTTATTAGATATTTTGTTATCAGTTTTATCCTAAATTTTCTTATCTAAAAATGGAGATAGTAGTACTGATCCTACTCATTACAAGGATTAGAATATTTATATATAGCACCTAATATAATGCCAAAACATAGTAAGTACTCAATGAATAGTATGTGTTATGACTGTTGTAATCACTGGAATAATTGGAAACTAGAGTTATTATCTGCATTCTAAATGCAATGTTTTATTAGAGTAAGGTGCCTCTCATAGGGAACAGTGTCCTTCAATTATCCTTTGGAAACTAATAATATCCAATAACCTACAAATTCCTGTTTCTTGGGTATGATTGGAACAACAAATACCAAAGTGTACTCCATGATAAACTAATGAATATATAAGGTATTTCACATAAAGAGTGTTCCATATCAAAAAAGTTTGGGAAACCCTGAATTAAAGTTAAATATTTTTTTCTTCTACAAAGGTTCTTAGAGCCATAATATGCAAGTGAATACTGAAATCTTCAATATTTTCCCAAAGTACTATCCCATAGAATTATTTCTCATTGACCATATTAAGGGAATCACTGAAATATACTTTGAGAAACACTAGTTAGACCATATGCAAGACTCTTCCATTTAGATTCTCAGAGTTTGTAAAACACTCAAGTTCAGAAAATAATTTGGCATTAAACTTCAGTTATTTGTATTGACTTTTTCAGACTATAGAAGATATATTATTTCTTGTAAAAAAATTTCCAAACTTAGAAGATACTAATAGTCAAAAGAAAAAAATCTCTCATATTATTTTACTGCCTGAAGATAATGACTACTAACATTTGGATACATTTTTTATAACTTTTCCCCTGACATTATACTTCCAAAAACCATCAAACATTCCTTGAAAGACTTATGGCCATCAGAAATTGACTTAAAAAATAAAAAAGCATTGGTGTACACTCTGGATTCTGTAATTCCTACAAAAATTACTTTAGATAGAATTATCAATGAAATTAAAATCATATAATATCCATCTAAATAATGCCCAATAATTCTTCTAGTTATCCCTATTTATCTCTCTTCCTCTCATTTACCATCATGGCTTCTTTAGTTTCTTTTATGGGCCTTCTTTCTCTTCCTATATCTTAAATATTGATATTCCTTTGTATTCTATCCTGGTCTGTCATTTATTCTCATATAATATATGGTCATGAATTCAAGAGCACACAGGAGCCAGGCAGGTATTGCAAATGAAGCAAACAGGCTGAATGAGAACTGTACCAAACTGGATAGCACATTATCCACCTACAAAAGGAAGGTTGTTACTCAGTTCCAGCTGATTACTGACTGCCAGGCAAGAATACCGAACTAGAATTGTCTCATTATGAATTTTCATGAAAATCTGGAAATCCAAATTTTTATTTCTACTTGCCAATTTTCAAATATTAGAATTCAGAACATATTTAAATACTCTGATAGCCAAACAAAACAGATATCTGTGAGTCAGAATTGGTTGACTGTCTGCTAGGTTGCTACCTGTTTTCTATACACTCTTCATGCACAATCTCATCTTTTCAATGATCATAAATTCTTGTTTTTTTAACTGTTCAAATTCTTATGCTTTTTCTTTTATTTATTTATTTATTTATTTATTTATTTATTATGTTATGTTAATCACCATACTCTATCTCATTACCTTCAGATCCATATATCCCACTTCCTACCATTTTCCCATACCGATTCCATTTGAATGTCTTATAAACAGTACAACTCAACCTACCTAAAATTGAGTTCATTACTTTTTTTCTCAACCTACTCAATCTCCTGCTTTCTTTCACTAAATGACACCCTTATCTACATAGTTGCTCAAGCTCTAACAACTGGGGGTCACTCTTAATTCTTCTCTATTGTTATATTTTCCCATAATACCCAAGTGTTGCCTCTTCTATCTTCTATGTATTTAATTATGTCAGCTTATCTCCACTCCTAAATCAATGATAATGTTTACCAAGAATAGTCTTCTCTCTTTAATCATTTCTCTATACCTGCCTTCAGAGTAGTCTTCCTAAATGTAAATTTGATCAAGTCAATTCTCTGCTTAAAACCCTTCAAAATCCAGCTCCTGGACTTTAAGTCCAAACTTCTCAAACTGGCCTACAAGGCCTTTCATATTATATACCCTGATTACCTCTCCTCAACCTTTATCTTTTATCATATTCTCTTTCAGGTATTCCAACCACCTAAACTACTTAAAATTCCTGTGCAGGGAACAAAACTCTCTCACATTCCATCTTTAAATCTTCTATCCCCTCTTCCTAAAACACCCCCACCCCCTCTCCCAAGTCTTCCCTCAACTAACTAAAATTCTCATGCTTCGGATCTCAACATAGATGTAATTTCCTTCACAGATACTTCTTTGAGACCACATGTTAGGTGTCCTTCTTATGGAATTGCCACATTTTATTTCCAATATATTATAATTGCCTTTTTAATTAATCTCATTAGACTGAAAGCCCCAAGAGGACAGTAACTATGTCTTCCTAGTTCATAGTTGTTTCCAGTATCTAGCATACCATAGTGCACAATAAATATGTTTGAGTGATTGTTAAACACAAGTCTTACACTTATGATTTAATAATCAATTTCACACTCAAACATTAGTCATATGTAGAAAAAATAGGTTATATTTTTTAAAAAGCTAGGGCTGCCCTGCAGAAACATCTATTTCTATAGTATAACCTGGAATAGATTTTCCCATAGAAAAAAATTTTTAACGTCCATTTAGTTCTATGCTACTATTTTATGAGGTGTTCTACAAACATCACTGTTTCTAAGGAAAATGTGTTCCAGTTTCCAAATAATCAATATATATACTTTGGGAACACAAACTATAATTATGAGAACTGCCTAAAATTATAATTAAGAGACTTCACTAATAATAGAAACAAACTGAAAATAACATTGAATAAAAAGTATTTCAGGGCGCCTGGGTGGCTCAGTCGTTAAGTGTCTGCCTTCAGCTCAGGTCATGATCTCAGGGTTCTGGGATCGAGCCCCGCATTGGGCTCCCTGCTCAGCGGGGAGCCTGCTTCTTCCTCTCCTACTCCCTCTGCTTGTGTTCCCTCTCTCGCTGTGTTTCTGTCAAATAAATAAATAAAATCTTAAAAAAATAAAAATAAAAAAAATAAAATATAAAAAGTATTTCAAGTAGGAACTTAAATTGAAATAATTTCACATATCTCTTAAAGACAATTCTGCATTTGCCAGACTTAGAAAATGTATTGTTAAAATCTGTGTGTAAAATTCTATTAATGAAATGACTCTTTTAAATAAATATTTTATTACTGTCCCATACACTCGACACATATTAACAGGAAGCGGCATGCATTTTCTAATGTATCTCAATAGGTAGAGAACAATTAAAAGACAGTTCTAGGAGACTGGCAGTTGGCATTTAAAATTATATAGATCACAATGGATCTATAATTCCATGTAATACACTTTTAGAAAACTGGTCTAAGTAAACCAAGAAATATTCAGGAGGTGATATTGTCTAATAATAATTTCTAGAGGATATTTCAGAACATTTTCAGAGGCATGTACAACTCTCTAACAGATCAGATTTATATAAATGGTAGCTTCTATTCTTATGCTGTATCAAATCAAATTCTTATGCTGTATTCTTATGCTGTAAGAACATACTATGAAAAATAAAAGTGCTTTATTTTACTTTAGTTTCTCTTAATTTTACCCTCTTTTTAGTTTTTAAATTCATCATTAATCCTGAAATCATAAAGTTTAGACTATATAAATACATAGAGGTAAAGTATAGGTTACTAATTCAGGTAGTATTAATTTCAACTATGAAAAGTATTTGTTAAGTAAATGAATATGTTAAGTAAAGTATAGGTTACTAATTCAGGTAGTATTAATTTCAACTATGAAAAGTATTTGTTAAGTAAAAGTGGTGAAATACTGGATCTATTTAGATAATGAACTTCTTAATTAGCAGCATTCAACTGAAAACAAATAATACATATATCACTATTTGTACTAATATTAAATTTGTATAAATATTCTATAATTCAATCTCTCAAGTTTATTTACATTTTTGTCAATATCCTAAGAAAATTATGAAAGCAAGCATTAAGTTCAGCCCTATTTACCACTTTTATAGAAATCAGGTTATAGTGGTAAAACTTTTCCCAATAGCTACAGAATTAAATAATTTTTGGGGAGACATAATTCTATGTTTTTAAAATACACATATAGAACATTAAAACATGTATCAGTAAAATAGCGCATACTAATTATAATTGTAAATGAAAGCTCTAAGTCAATATTAGTGTGTAACTATCATACTAGTTCTTCAATAATGTCATCAGTCATTTAGTAGCCACTCTGTGGAAAGCACCAAAATAAGCCAAGTTTAAAGAAAAATAAAGGAGCAGTGAACAAAGATTTTGCCCTGGGGCAGTTCTTAATCTAATCAGGGAAGAAGAATTATCAATAACAAAAGAGACCCATTAGGACATAATACAAAAGGAATATTGTAACAAGAATATAATTAGTAACAACTTTCCTATACATACAGGCACACTGAAACATTAAAAATAGGGAATAGTAGATTTATTATAAAGACCAGACTCAAGCCTCATTTAAATAGATTGTTTTAATCAGAGTTCTGGAGAATAATTATGTAACTCAGAATATATATATGAAAATGAGCCAGCCTCAAGTTAAACATATCTTATTAAGGACCTAATATGCACGGAGCATAAACATTTATTAAAGAAAATTTGTTTTTCTGATTAACACAGTGACCAGGAGAATTATTCGTTTACATACAAAAAGATGGCTTGGAATTCCATTACGTCTTATATGTGCATAAACTTAAGTATCAGCGCCAAAGTCAAAGTGGTAATTACCACTAACCACATATCCAAATAGCTGTATTATGTCACAACATAAAAAATATTGATAAGTTAATTCTCTTTAGAACCCTGAATAATATGTTAGTCAGGCAAGTGAAGAATGAGCTACCAGCAATAAAAAATATGTGAACTTATCATGATTATTTTTACCTAAAACTAAATGTGATCACAATCCACTTGCCATTCCCATTGGAAGTGGCTATACTAAGAACGGCTACAAAAAAAGATGATTTCCATTTATGACTTTTAGAATAAGGCTTAGTATTTTATCATCAAATTTTACATACATAACCCTTAATTATTCAGAAACCCGTAAGTATTCGGGAAGTCTAAAATTAGAATATGTTAATATTACAATATTTTTAGAAGTCTTTACAGTTTTAAATTATTTTAGCTAAACTTTTCACTCAAATTAATCATAAATTAGCTATAAATGTTTCAAATAACTCTGTAATTTGACATGCTTTACATAACCATATGAAATACTCAAGCCAAATAAAGTGGTATTTAAGTTCAAACTTACAGCTCAATTGCCTTGTTCCACATGATAACATATCCAGAAAGAATGAAAGATTCAATATTTACAATATGTGTATTTCCTCTTTCTGTTCCAACATAGAGCCATTTACTCTGGAAAGGTAGATGACAGTAAGTAATTCTGAAAGAAAGAAAATTACAATTAAAATATCTAAATTTTATGTTTGGTCAGCATTATATTTTCCTTATATTTATTAGGTAGTGATAGCTATATAAACAACAAAATTTACTATACACTCAAGTAGCATTTAGGTATTAGTAGAGGGTAGAGGATAAATAACAAGAGTATACCATTAAAAACAATAATGATAATAATAACCACTAATAAATAATTGTCTACCATGGGCATTAACATATATTGTTACTAATTCTTTCCAGAATTAGAGCACTCCAAGATAGATATATAATTCTATTTTATGAAGAGGAAACTGAGGCCAAGAACTTTTATTTTTACTTTCATTGGACTGACAGCTAGTAAGTGGCAAAACCAGGATTCAAATCCATTCCTGTTTGGTTGCAAAATTAGCAAATTTCTACACTGGTGGTTTTTCTTTGGTAATATTCACTTCAAATAGAAATTAGGTACATGTGAAACATACATTTCATAGTTATCATAGAAATTGTAGCTTTTTTTATATAAGATCATAAATTATTTACTTTTTATTCAGATGGTTGGCATCTTAGTAGTATAAAGAAAGCTTATAAGATCAGGGATCTACTCTACTATTCCTTTATTTTTTTTTTTTTGTTCTGCCTTTATTTGCACAATGGGCCTTCTGACCAATTCTGGGAAATTATTCTATAGCCAAAGAAACCATGATTCCTATAAATGAAATCTGGGAATTTACCAGAATCTTCTATTCACCGAGTATGACTCTTTTTAGTTTTGCCTACTCCCACTCCTTTTAAATGCTCATAAAGAAAGGGGGGGGGAGATAAGTTCACAGTTATCCCTTGCCAGAACCTGTTATTGAATCATATTTGCTAGAATTTATTCAGAAAAAGAGCTGGTAAATTGTTAGAAGAGGAGGACAGAATTCTGATGCCAGGCAGACAGACCAATATGGGGAAAAAAAGGGGGGGAACATAAATGGTAAATTCCCAACAAAATTCCACCTTGTACCTCTTTTTATATAAGAGTGAACATCCAGTCTGTCGAATTTATATTCTCATTCTGGTTCATTGAATTATTCAATAGTCTACCTTTCTAAACCAAACTTCATTTATTCAAAAGTATTCTGCTGAAAGCCCCTTGCACATTACAACAAAAAAACTAGAAATCCTGATATTACTTAATGCACTTACAGTTAATTGAAGATCTAATTAAAGTGTGACCTATATGGTGTTGGACAATTCTGATTAAAACCTAAAGTCTAGGATCGCTGTTGCCAAGGGATATTTAATAATGTCCCACAGGAAATAACTTGATAGTCATGTTTCTAGGCCATGAAGCATCTATTTTCAATTCAGTGTAAGTAGAAAAAGGAAACTCATTTTAAACAGGATTTAAGATCACCTTTTCTGAATCACAAAAAGAGTAGAAAAAAACACTAGTCCCAATAAAGTAGACAAAAATTTAGGAGTTCAGGTAGAAAAAGAGCAAACTTCAATATGACATAGTCATTTCCAAGGTTGAGAAGAAAAGTCTAAAAATTGCCAGGTTTCAGTAATGAGACCTGAAGCAAGAGGCAGAATTCCAATAAAGACAATCTTTACAAGGGAATGATGAAATACATGAAAAAGATCCAAATAGGATTAGAAGCTGTATCAAATAGAAATGGAAGGAAAACTTCCAAACTCTTTTTATGAGGCCAGCATTACCTTGATCCCCAAACCAGACAAAGACCCCTTTAAAAAGGAGAACTACAAACTGAGGGTTCTAGAGGGGAGGGGGGTGGGGGGATGGGTTAGCCTGGTGATGGGTATTAAAGTGGGCACATACTGCATGGAGCACTGGGTGTTATATGCAAACAATGAATCATAGAACACTACATCAAAAACTCATGATGTAATGTATGGTGATTGACATAACATAATAAAATAAATTAAAAAAAAAAAAGGAGAACTACAAACCAATATCCCTGATAAAATGGATGCAAAAATTCTCACCAAAATACTAGCCAATAGGATCCAACAGTACATTAAAAGGATTATTCACCATGAACAAATGGGATTTATTCCTGGGCTGCAAGGGTGGTTCAACATCCACAATCAATTAATACATTAATAAAAGAAAGAACAAGAGCCATATGATCCTCTCAATAGATGCAGAAAAAGCATTTGTCAAAGTACAGCATCCTTTCTTGATTAAAACTCTTCACAGTGTAGGGATAGAGGGTACATACCTCAATATCATAAAAGTCACCTATGGAAATCCCACAGTGAATATCATTCTCAATGGGGAAAATCTGAGAGCTTTCCCCCTAAGGTCAGGAATGGCAGGGATGTCCACTATCACCACTGCAGTTCAACATAGTACTAGAAGGCATAGCCTCAGCAATCAGACAACAAAAAGAAATAAAAGGCATCTGAATCATCAAGAAGAAGTGAAACTCTCACTCTTTGCAGATGATATGACACTTTATATGGAAAACCCAAAAGACTCCACCCCAAAACTGCTAGAACTCAAAAAGGAATTCAGTAAAGTGGCAGGATATAAAATCAAAGCACAGAAATCAGTTGCATTTGTATACACCAACAACAAGACAGAAGAAAGAGAAATTAAGGAGTCGATCCCATTTACAATTGCATCCAAAACTATAAGATACCTAGGAATAAATCTAACCAAAGAGGCAAAG